AGATATAGCCGTTTCCAAGTGCATAAATTTCTGCGCGTAAAACAAGGGGTGTTGCATGGAAATAGGAAAGAAAATGGCTGACAAAGAGCGAAAAAAGTAGAGAAACACAGGCGATAAAGTGCGGAACATGGATTACAGATGCATAGAAAACTCTATTTTTATGCACTTACTATCTGAGAAGTTTTCATAGCTGATGCTTAGATTTTTCAAAACAATGAGTTATTTGTTGGTGGTTGACAGCTTAGGGATCTAATAATTCGTTGCATACCGATAAACTAGCTCCACTCAGGGCTTATGCGACCTGATGAATGTAAGTACATGTGAGTAAAAGCTAACAGAGGCCGCTTTCTGATAATTATGAAAAGCGAAGTTTAGCAAGAATTAAAAAGTTGTAATTTCAAAACTACTTTTAAAATATTTTAAACATCCCATTCAAAGGTAAAATCAAAATTCAAAAATTGAGCTAGTCAGACTGTTAAACCGAAGGCGGTATGATTAATAGTTGCTGGTAGTCGTGATATTAATGGCTTAATCACCATAGAAACTATGTAGTACATATGCGCGCTGCATATTCTGTTTACATTATCTATTTTTCATACAGGTAAAACCCTACTTGGTGTCAGTAAAAGCTCACTTCTATTCAGTGGTAGTTTTGTACAATATATCTAGCAGCATCATTTGGAGGACAGAGGGATGCTGTTATGACGTCACAATGTAGTGCTTATGTTATCGGACGAGTGATCTGAGGCATTAAAACATAAATTAATTGCCTAAGCTTATTGCACGAGTTGATAAAGCCGGGGTTCGAACTCGGTACGCTTGAAGTACGCGACTGACAACAGAATCAGCAGGCCTTGCTATCAAAATGAGGAATGAAAGATCATTAAGGATGTCTCCTCTTTTTTCAAAAAGTTTTCAATTTTGACTCGAACGTACCCTAACGTGAAAGAAAGACAAATTTCATAGAATAATCCGTCGCTATCAATTGTATTTTTCAGAGTCCCATCGACTTTTAATATGCATCACTTGGTATTCGTTAGTTTTATTTCTTTGGTCAGCTGTATACACTGTGAGGATGTTTTTCGTATAGTAAGCGCTGAATTAGTTCGTCCAAAAAGTCTTGGTATTGATAAACACAATAAGTTAATTACCGACTACTGGACGTCCGATGTATGAGACTGTTCGCAAACCATGAACAACAAAATAGATATAATCCTGTCTGTATTTTGTATAACATCCTTCCGAAACGGAATTAAATGGCTTCAGCCGTGCCTGTGAAAAATAGTCCGCCCGAGAATAGTCCTCGATCTGGAAAAGTATTTACTAAAATACTGTTAAAAGGACAAAAACATTTCATTGCTGGTACTTTACCAACGACAAATAAGTTGAAAAAAGCACTAAAACCAAATGTTTCTCCTGCGTCTGTCGGCAGAGTGTTTTGGACGTCGGATTCCTTCAATTATTATTGTTCCGCATCCGTTATTACATCGAACAATAAAAATTTAATTATAACTGCTGGTCATTGTTGTTACGATACGGGTACGAAATCATTCACAGTTAACAAACAATGGATATTTGTACCCCAATATAATAATGGCAATGCACCGTACGGACAATGGGTCGGTCAAAGTCAGCATGTATTGGACGGTTGGTTAAGTCAACAAAATGTAAATGCTGATGTTTGTATGTGTATTTTATCGACAAATAATGGTAAACGTATATCGAAGGTGGTAGGATCACAAGGAATAGGATGGAATTATTCAAACTTAAATTATATATATTCATTTGGGTATCCGTACAATATTAACAACGGACAAATCATGAGTTATTGCGCGACAAAAACAGTAGCTCCACTTCTTACTGCCGGAGCAGATCACAAAGGACAACGAATATTATGTACAATGAGCCAAGGATGCTCGGGTGGACCATGGCTAAAAAATTTTAGTACATCTACTGGCCTTGGCATTGTGATATCAGTCAATAGCTTTGCAATAGAAGGAATTTCTGGTTATTTATACGGACCTTACTTTGATAACAGCGTTATGTCTTTATACAACCACTGTCAAAATAAACAATGGTAGATCAAAAAAACTTTTCGTGACTGGTTCTTTTGGAATGAGTGAGTTAAGGCGCGGGTAATTCAAAGTTTCAGCAGATGATATATCTGTATGAAGCATACATCAGTCGATAGCCCTTGAAGAGGTGATCCCAAATATCACCTTTGAAAAAATTCTAGTCCTTTCCTTCGTGGA